CGTCGTCGTCGTCGTCTCTACTCTCTCTCTCTCTCTCTCTCTCTCTCTCTCTCTCTCTCTCTCTCTCTCTCTCTCTCTCTCTCTCTGTCGTGTTGCGCCATAATGTCACCCCATATAAGATTTTTTAGTTTCGTTTCTTTATAGAAAGGATAAAACAAATGAATATCCGCGCGCGTGTCATAAGAAATGTTTCCAAGAACGTGATACGCTGCGCGAATATTCATTTTCTATATTTTATTCCTCCTGTAAAAGTAATAACCATCGAGTTTGCATTCGAGTAACTTTTATGAGTATAACGGTATAATGGTAATTTTCAATTTAAAATTTCAATTTTCATATGTAATTTAAAGTTTCATATTTTTCGTTTCACTAATTTGATCTTGCCAAGTTTTTAAATCGTCATATGCTTTTAAAGGTAAAAATGAAAAAATAATTACATAACGAAACCATTAGTGAACGGTCGATAATTTTAATAAATAATTGCATTACTTTATACACATTAACAAAAATGTATAGCTTAGGCTTTTAAATTTAATTAAGTAATAAGCTTAATTTAATAATTTTGATTAATAAAGATTACATTGTACAATTTTTTCTTATTATCACAAATTATCACAAATTATCATGACTTTTACCCATCTGAAATTAATGGAATATTCTGCAATCATAATATTAATAGATCAATCAGAACTATTCGCTAATCGTTCATTTCCGATGATTGACTTCGCGGTTTGGTAGTTTCGGCCAATGTTATCCCTCCCTGATAATTTATTAAACGAATTCATCTAATTATAGATTTTTTTTCAGAATAACCTTTTTTATAAGCGAGAACTTAATTCCTCTCTTCGTCTTGGCTCCCCCGACTTCATTTCGACCCATCTTCGCTTTATTTTGATCGCTTTTTCCGTTCAAAAGCATCCATTATACTCAGTTCTGCTGGTGACTTCGCGTTAATGGCTCGACACGTCATATACTTCAAACAATGACGTCATTAAGATTCGTCCGTAGAAAAATTTGCGAATTGCCGAAAGTTCCGCGTATTGTTATTTTACGTATCTTACAAAAAACTCGATTACGGCAGATTATGTACAAGTGAAGAAACTGATTATATATTATTGGCATTAATCTAATTAAAAACACTCTTCATTAAGAGTTTTAAATAAACTACTGTTGTTGAATTAACGAGATTATTTTCAATTAAATACATTTTTTTTCCAAAGCGATTTGCTCGCTCATCGAAAGATTTACGTTGTCTGCCAATGCTTCATCGATCGCGCGCTTCACATTCACGCGATTCCTAGATCCGCTGTCAGGTTTCTATGCCAATGTAGATATCCATCGATGATTGACTCACGTGCCATCGCCATGGCGATGGTAACGACGGAGACATCGGGCCTTTACAACGTTCGATGGACATGGCGCGTGACGGGATGCGGAAAGGTAACAAGGATTTAATCGTCGTGCCTGTGTACCCACACATGTGGATGTTTGTGCGTGGGTGCGTTCGCGTAATAATACCTTGTGGTGCGAAGAGACTAAAGCCGGAAACCCACAATTAGTTACCTCAATTTCCGTTTCGTTTAATTGTGCCGCTACGGACACGATGCGCTCGATACATGTGGGCGATGCGAGCGCCTCAAAGGAAGATATTGCCGAATGAATTTTGAATTACCGTAATTCTAAATTACTTGCAAAGTATCGCAAAATTACAGGCCGCACGGGGAAATTCGAGATAAAACAATTTCCATAAACGAGATTCATCTCTGAAATGGAAAATAAAACTACTAACAAATAGAATCATATTTGGTTACATCTAAAAACTTAAACTATTTATTAACGATTATCAATTATATCATTAAAAAAGTTATTTGTTTAGTGATTATTTGTTAATTAATTATTTGTTAAACTTAAACTAAAGTTATATGTTAATCGGTCATCAAAATTGATCATCGATGTCTATTAAAAAAATGAATTCAAATATTGCTTTGAGCGAGCTACATACGTTGTAAGTTCGGTAATTTAACGGCACATAGTTTCGCGAGCATATAAAGCATTTGCCTTGAATTTATATATATTTAAGGAAATAAAGAAAAAAATTATTCGACACTAAGAGCCTGTCTGCCGATTAATGTCATCATGTCATCTTTTTATTTATCTTTTTAAAAATATATACGATTTAGATCATTGTTTAAAATTATTTATGAAAATTAATGATTATTTATATATTCGTCTTCTATCATTTTTTAGGAGTATTTGAGATTTTTAATTTTTTGTGGTATCTTCAAAGATGATGTCACGGGAAAGTATTTTCATATATTTTGTAGAAACAATTTTTCTAACGATATTTCAATTATTGGGCCATTTATTGGATACGCGACAGGACAAAAGCAGACCGTGTCGACAATCTGGAATTGCGCGGTCAGGACTCGCCCTTCGAATCATTAAAATCGAACGAGGTAAAGACGACAAAACACCTCAGTTACACAATGGTCTTCGTGGTAAGCTCTATACAGAGAGAGAGAGAGAGAGAGAGCCACATCGGAGTTCACAGAAGAGGACTTGTCTTCAGGAAGTCGAGGGAGAGGGAAAAGCGATAACAAACCGTCCGTTCAATGGCGGCGGCTTTTGGAACAAGGCTCGGAGAGTGCCATCATCGAAATAGAGGATATCTCGAATCGGTGCGCAATGGACTCACGCCGCGTTCATACCCGGTCACGGCGAGATCGGTTTGACGTATACCGGGGTGGATCGCGAAACTCGCGAGGACTCCCTCGGACACCCTCGACGTAATTTTAACGTCAGTTCCACCTCGGCGGAACTTTGATCGAACGCCATCATTTATCAGAGCTTACGCAAATTCAATATTTCCACGTTTAAACTCGGAGATTAAATCTCCGTTAAGGCAAGGCGAAATTGACTGGAAAGCGAGATCTTATTTTTATCCCTCTGTCTACCGTCACCTGAAATTTGATCGAACGAAAGATTTTCGATTCTTAATTTTATTCCTAACGTTTAAATCGTTTTTCGATTAGATCAACGAATCCGTTCTCTGTCGAGGGGAAAATCGATTGCACACTTCATCGTGCGACTACGCACGCACGATTTCCATATTTGACGATACACCCCGTACAATCAGCTGTGGTATTTGTACCCTTGGGAAAGGAGAATTCGGTCTGAAACGAATATCATTTAATGCTTTCAAGCGTGCTTTCCTCGAAGTAAGCTTTGACGTTTAGATACGTGAGAGCACAAATGCCCGGATTAAATCTCTACCGGATAATCGGAGCTCGTAATGTCGTAGAAAGTGCGAAGAGTATTGCATTTCTATCGAGCGCTATTTCGGGATACTATTTAAGGATACGATAACAAAGTTTAATTATTTTTATTGTACATTAAGTTTCTGTTATATAGCAAAAGATAAAACTCAATATAAGGATTTTAATACACGCGAAAAAAGAAATTAAAATGTCCTCTAAACATTTATACGATAAACTTATTAAAAATTTGTTTCGTTTATCTTGTTTGCATAATCAACAAAATAATGAATAAAGTAATAATGAATAAACAAATACAAGAACACATAAAATAGAATTAAATTGGTAATCTTAAAAACAATTGAAAAAGATTTAAATAATAAAAATTTAAATAGAAAGTTAAAAAAACATCGTTTTACGACGTGAATATTTTAAATAATAATCTTTAAATTTAAAGCTAAGAAGCTAAGAATAACTTCTAAATT